TCCATTGTATATGTGCTCAATTCGCCAGTGCTCCTCAGCACTGATCCATCCGCCCAAGGAGACACATAAGAATAGACGGGCTTAGTTGTAGATCCATTGCACAAATCACTCTGGCTCATATCAGACTTGGGTAACACCTGTTTTCCCACTGCAGGTTGCAATACCTCACATCCACCACTTTGCTCTGGTGGTGCTTCCTGAACTACCCACACATTTGCATTTTTACCAGGCTGCATTAACCCGCTGTTCACCTGAACACTTTCCGTATTGTTATACTGCACCAACACACTCCTATTACAAGGTGCAGTTCCACTTTGCTCCACCAGAGTGATATCGCAGTTGTCCAGGGCAACCTGCGGCTCCAATACACGGAGACCCCTGGAGATGTCTAAGCACACCTGTGCTGTCTTACCACCAGTTGCTATGGGAAATGACCCATCTTTAATTACAGCTTTGCACTGCAAGAGCTCAGGGTTTTCCCAACAGCAGAACATTTAGCATCATCAACATCAGCATTTGTAGCTCTTGTGGGCTGTACTAGCCTACTACCAACCTGTAACTGGCACACATTATTGACATCACTTTCTTTTTGAGAACCATGCACAGGTTGTACTTTAATTCCTACCTCCCCACTGTACAAGGCACTGCACAGGGAAAAGTCACTCTCAAAAGCACATTCAGTGACCCAACTAACTGGGGTCACACCTATATCAGAATGGACAGTCTCATAACCAGTCCTTCTTAACATGACAGTCCCAGCCATGGTTTTATCACACACAGTCTTACCCACCACAGTAGTAGGTGTCACCATCTTCATTTGAGTGCGTTGTCTCATAAACGCATCCTCAACTGCACTTTCATTGGCAACTTTTCCTTTGCCCCAAGGTGAAGTAACAGATGCCCCCATAGGCTCCATGGACTCTCTGGCACCCCTGCAGGCCCAACAGGAACTTCCTCCCTGTTGCCAGAGGCAGCCGCCAACACTTTCAAACAAGAATCTTGGCTTGATGTTGTAGACATTTGCCCAGTATCAGCGGTATTCCAGAGTCTAGGACAGGAAAAGATCCCATGCCCCCACTGACCACATTCCAGGCATGGTACATTTCCACTCTTATCTTTGTTGGGACACTGAGCCACATCTTCAATGCAGCTCCTCCTTCCAGGCACTACTTTTTCTCCGGTCGCCATGGGAGATTGCACTCTCCAAGCAGAACTTTGCTGGCTCTTTCCAACACGCTGTATTGGCTCCTCTTGATGCCACTTGCCATGATCCTTGTACAACACAGCCCCCTGTACACAGACAGCCCGACTGGCCTCCTCTGTGTTGCTATGGGCCTTCACTCTTGGTCCTGGCCTCTGGTCAGCCCCTCTCCTTGCACATAGCATAGGCTTCTCTCTGCGGGACCAACTCTGAAGCCATGACACATTCACATTTTTCACAACAGCTACTGGTTTAACTGCAGCATAGTTGCCAGGGGCAACAACACCCCTCTCCCAGGTACAGACATCCTGCAGCTCTCTCCTTGCACTGAAGGTTGGCTTGCTTTCCTCTTTAGGTTGGTTCAATGCTGCCAGGTGCCGCTTGCACCAGTCCACAGCAGACTCACCCACATCTAAATTTCCCGGCTTGGCTGGGGCATGCGGTATATAACCCCCTAGTCACAGGGCTCTCTCATCTCAGCAAACATTGCCTCCTTTTTCTGTTTTGACCGCCCCATTTTTGCAGTCATGCACACAGCAGTGTGTTACACAGTTCAGCAACACCATGGAACACTGTCTCTTTAAGGCAAAGTCCTTTTCTTTAGCAGGTTCTCCTCACCTGCACACACAGATAGTGCAGCCTTATGCACCAAACAGTTCATATAACAAGTGAACTTACTTCAATTGCTGGGATCTCCAATTCTGCCCACTGCATCCGCCACCATATGTGGGAACTCGCTTCAACATGGTAGAGCTTTCAAACACAAACAGCTACTCGCTTTCTTTTTCAGGGCCTTTTTAGCCCACTTTTATTTAAATGAAAGTTCAAACATAATGCTTCCCACGCAGGGGTATCCACCAACAAAACAAAGATTCAGCCTCCTGGCTTACACACAGTTCAATGTCTGTCTCCTGCATACTCTTCCCAAATTATAGCCACTAGCACACAGCTAATCTGGCTTCCACCTGACTCCAAGGCAGAGACCTCCCGTCTGCCGGGGTGGAGCCCTCCTGACTCCTAGCTGCCGGGGTGGAGCCCAGAACCCTGGTCCTGACTCTCTGAAAAGGCCTGCACACACCTGTGCAATCAGCCTCCTGGCCATTCCAAAAACCTGGCCCCAGGATTGGAGATTTCATCCCTCCCAGATCTCTTTGAAATCTCCAGGCTCCAGATCCCAAAATGGACCTTACAAACAAAGGAGGAAGTTGAAAAGCCACTTTCCTCCGTATCAAACACTTACCCTGGAGCCCCTCAACCTGCCTAGTTGAGAATCCTGGGTGACAGATCGTCACACTGTCACAATATATATATATATATATATATATATATATATATATATTTACATTTCAATATTAATATTTTTTCTACTATTTTTTATTCTAATACATATTTATTCACTTTGTTTTTTGGTTATATAATGGTTTGTACCATTGTTTCATGTAGCACAGCACTTTTTCACTTCACATTATGAGATGTATGAGTACTGCCAGCATTGATGCAGAGTTTGAAGGGGTGGGGGGTCATCCCCTCAGTGCTCAGACCATACGCTGCACACTACACCAAATTAGTCTGCATGGTTGTCGTCCCAGAAGGAAGCCTCTTCTAAAGATGATGCACAAGAAAGCCCGCAAACAGTTTGCTGAAGACAAGCAGACTAAGGACATGGATTACTGGAACCATGTTCTGGGGTCTGATGAGACCAAGATAAAATTCTTTGGTTCAGATGGTGTCAAGTGTGTGTGGTGACAACCAAGTGAGGAGTACAAAGACAAGTGTGTGTGGTGACAACCAGGTGAGGAGTACAAAGACAAGTGTGTGTGGTGACAACCAGGTGAGGAGTACAAAGACAAGTTTGTCTTGCCTACAGTCAAGCATGGTGGTGGGAGTGTCATGGTCTGGGGCTGCATGAGTGCTGCTGGCACTGGAGAGCTACAGTTCATTGAGGGAACCATGAATGCCAACATGTACTGTGACATACTGAAGCAGAGCATGATCCCCTCCCTTCGGAGACTGGGCCGCAGGGCACTATTCCAGTATAATGACCCCAAACACACCTCCAAGACGACCACTGACTTGCTAAAGAAGTTGAGGGTAAAGGTGATGGATTGACTAAGCATGTCTCCAGACCTAAACCCTATTGAGCATCTGTGGGAGATCCTCAAATGGAAGGTGGAGGAGCGCAAGGTCTCTAAAATCCACCAGCTCCATGATGTCGTCATGGAGGAGTGGAAGAGGACTCCAGTGGCAACCTGTGAAGCTCTGGTGAACTCCATGCCCAAGAGGGTTAAGGCAGTGCTGGAAAATAATGGTGGCCACACAAAATATTGACACTTTGGGCCCAATTTGGACATTTTCCATTAGGGGTGTACTCACTTTTGTTGCCAGCGGTTTAGACATTAATGGCTGTGTGTTGAGTTATTTTGAGGGGACAGCAAATTTACATGTTATACAAGCTGTACACTCACTTCTTCACATTGTAGCAAAGTGTCATTTCTTCAGTGTTGTCACATGAAAAGATAGAATCAAATATTTACAAAAATATGAGGGGTGGACTCACTTCTGGGAGATACTGTAGCAGAAAGTTTAAACATCTGCTTACCTGTGTTTTTTCCTCACTAGTTGGATGAGTAAGATTTTGCTTTCTTCAGTTTTATGGTGGCATTGGCAGAGAAGGAACAGTGCCATGCAAAGCAAGTGAGGAACAGTGCTGCAGTGTGCCACAATGCACATGCAATGCATATCACAAAGATCATACTTGTTTTTTGGCTGCTGAGGTGCACAATTTGCAACACAACATGTGGTAATGTGTGAAATACCAGAAGTAAACATCAAAAAACTTCCCTGATTCAGATTCTGCCTTGGAGATGAAAAAATCATGTACAGTAAATCCTGGTGTCTGTGCCATTTTTGGCTGTGTTCACAAATGTCAGACACAAGTCAGCCCCTGCTGATGCAAAGTTACTGATCATGAGCTCAAGGACTGCTATTTTAATTGGAACACATTTTTGGTAATATTGTGTTGCTGACGTGTAACATATCCATACAGAGTTATCAACTTACTAAAAGGTTCACTTTAAATATCCAGATATAATTTATTTTTCTTATTAATGGTTCAGTTCCCCTCAAAAATGTTTTTGGAGACCCATTTTTCTGACATTCAGAAAATACCATACTTGTGCTTTCCTTTTAACTTGATTGTAGCGAATGCTGAAGTGTGATGAGATGGTGGCTTACAGGAATTCTGCAGATGTACAAAACACTATTAATAATCACCTTGATTCATAACCATATGTCAGGTTTCTCTCTGGTAAAGCTTGTAGTACAAGACATCATATGTGTACATATGTAAATCTCATCACATTTAAGTGCTGCCGTGTCTATGATGCAGACACTCCACATCAAAGCTTAGTGGTTTATGGCTTTCATCTCCAGATTACAGACTGGCATATGCCCAGTAACAGTGCACTAAACCACACATTGCAAGGTATAATCCAAATCCACCTATCTTTACATGTCACAAGTAATTCCCCAGAAAGGCGATTTGTGCTGGGTGAAATTTTTATTTATCCCATACTGTATTTGGGATTTTTTAAAAAAAATTAAATTGTCATCCCTTGGAGGGGCAGTCCCAAAATTCCACTTTCCTCTACAATTACCCCTCATTTATGAAAGATCTAGAGATTGGTAAACATTATTGCACATACCAACAACATTGTTCATGATATTTTAAATTGTAGGTGAACTTTGCTGCCAGGGGCGGACTGACAACTCATGGGGCCCCCGGGCAATAGGGGATCATGGGGCCCCCGTGTCCTTGCCCAAACTCAAAAAAGCCTATGAAAAAGGTACTAGGGGCATCTCATGGGGCCCCCTACTGACCCCGGGCCCTCCGGCAGTGCCCGAGTTTCCAAATGGTCAATCCGCCCCTGCTTGCTGCATATTTTCAAATGCTAGTATAAATAGACAATGTAGAAAAATAGTTGGGGAAAAAAAATCTGCAAAAGTACAATTTTAGCTATAGGTGGAGCCTGATGGGCTTATGGAACAATGTTAAAATGTGAAAGTTAAAAAATACCTGAAAGCACCTGTCTAACCAAAATTAATATATTAATGATGAGCTTGGGCATGCTCAGACTAGGATCTGAATCAACGTGTGTGAACCTGTTAGAGGCTGTCACCTCTACGGGCAGTCATCAGCGACCGTAGCATTCCCCGCTCCACAGCTGCACTTATACAAGGGATGTGTGTATACATGTGCTCTTAGGGTAGGGAATGCTGTCCTGACAAAACTGCGCTTGTATGTAAGCAAAATGCATTGACGTCACTGAGCATCACGTGATGTCACATTGTCATGCCCCCACACCCCATGATACTCTGATGGCGGAACACGAGGAGTGAGGATTCCATCTCCAATATGGCAACAGCATGCGGTGAATAGAGGAAAGGGGAAAACCCAGATAGTACCCAAGTGTGGTAAGATTCTATGTGGATGCTTTGAAGACTCTGGATTACATGGAGCAATAATTACACAGGTCTGCAAAAAAATTTTTTTTCAAGAGCTGTTTTGGTTATTCCACGTAATCTTTGTTTTTTGGTGCGCTGAATCCGAAAATGACCTCCATTTTGTCATAGGACATAACGTTTCCTGACAATTTAGGTAACTATGTTAAATAAGGCAATACCTCAAAATAAATGGAAATAGACTTATAAAATTAAAATTTTATTACCATTTTTTCATGAAAATCCTTTTTTGAACTGAAATGAGCTCACCGGCACACACTAAACTCGATTCTTCTTCCCTGTGAGGCTCCTCTTGGTGAATTTTACACTTGTGAGTAGCATCTGGAATGTTTCTCTGAAGCATCCAACAGTAGTCTGCCATCATTGTAATGCTCCATTTTCTCTGGTATCTCCTTTCCATCTCTTTAATGTCTTGGTGGAATCGTTCAGCTTGTTCCTCACTCACAGCTCCCAAATTTTCAGGAAAGTCGTCAAGGTGGGACTGGAGGAAATGTACTTTCAAACTCATCAGGCAACCTAAAGCTTGAAATGCTGTCAGCATTCGTCCAATGATCTTTTTGTAGTAAGGATCTTTGTTATTGCCTAAAAATTTCTGTACGACTTCTTTAAATGCAATCCACTCTTCTTTTTAAGGATCCGTCATGGCATTGACAAACTCTTGATCAACTATAAGCCTTCTAAGGTCTGGTCCGACGAACACACCTTCCTTCAATTTTGCTTCCGACAGGCCTGGAAACTTGGTGACCAAGTATTTGAAGCATTCTCCATCTCTTGGAAGTGATTTTACGAATTGCTTCATCAATCCCAATTTTATGTGGAGAGGTGGTGGAAGAACTTTATGGGAAGGTACCAAAGTATCTCGGAGGACATTTTTTTCACCAACTGTTAGCACCCTCAGCTGCCAACTCTTCTTGGTCCAGAGATTTTGTTAGTCTCGACTGTCCCATAGACACAGAAAACAAGGGTATGTGGTATACCCAGCTTGTTGCCCAAGCAGCATGCACAAGACCTTCAAGTCCCCACACACTTGCCAACCATGGTCTTCATATTTAAGTTTACGAAGAACCAATTCCAAGTTCTCGTAGGTTTCCTTCAAGTGTACGGAATGACCTACAGGTATGGAAGCGTAAAAACCACCGTTGTGGAGTAAAACTGCTTTGAGACTTCTTTTTGAAGAATCTATAAAAAGACGCCATTGCTCTGAATCATATTGGATTTTAAATTGACCAATCGGACCTTTGACATCGATGCAATAAACCAACTTGTGTTCCTGGCCGAAGTAAGGAACGAACTCCTTTCAAGATGTCTGAACCATGAAGATGACACTCCTGGCAACAATAAATTCCTGCTTTTCAGCCTTGATCCGAGTAACTCAGCAGCATCTTTGGGAAGATTCAAGTCTCTTACCAAATTATTCATCTCCTCCTGAGAAAACAATTTTGGTCTTGTATCATCTTCAAAGTCAGAACTTGATTCATCATCTGGTTCAGGTATGACTTCCCCTTCATTGGAGCTAGGTATCTCTTCCAAGGTAGCAGGGGGCTTGGGTACTGGTATATCTGTGCCATGGGGGATGGGATGAATTGCTGAGTGAAGATTGGGGTATGAAATGGAATGCTTTCATTTGGAATTAAACCCTTTCACATCGCATGAACAAAAGTAACAGTCGTCACTATGGTTCTTTTGCTCTCGCCATACCATAGGAATCCCATAACGGAAATATTTTTTCTTACCCTTGAACCAGTTTCGGAGGTCCTCAACACACAGTTTGCACACTTTATGAGGCGCCCAAACTTATCTTGATCTCCAATTTTTAGTCCAAAGTATGCTAAGTATACTTTTTTCACAAAGTCTGTAATATTCTGCTGTTGCGTCAACACTGTATATTCACCACAGATGAAACAGAAACTGTCTGGCGAATTAATACACTTTCGCAGAGCCATAACATAACGGTTGAAGAATGACGAGCTAACACGAACTGCGATGAAAAAGTGTGAACAGCCTAGAACCAAGAACCCGATGATGATTCGTGCACAAGTGTGGACTGCAGGAGAGAGCAGCTCTGTGTCTGTACATGAGTTGTCACAGTGCTGGCCACGCCCCCCTGCACTGACGGAGCTGCTGCTGCTATCTGCCCTGTGTCTCCCTCCCACTGGATTCTTCAGGAAGGATTAACCCCTTCTACCATTAGAAGCACAGACTCAGGGCTGAGGCTTACACATACAGCATGCTGCTGAGTATCCCAGTAGTCAGACATGTCACTCAGAGCAGCACTTGTATTCACCCCCTTTAAGGTTTTTTTGGCATTTTATATCTTAAATGCACTTATGTGAATTAATTAATAGTAATTTGGACTTTAAATTTGGTTAAAAACCCATAATATAAAAAAATACCAAAAATGAAAAAAATTTGATAAATTTGAAGACAATTTTGCATTTTGTGGCAAATCATGACGTCTAGGAGTTTTTTTCAATATTTTATTTGTTTTCAGCACACAAAATACATGGAAATTAGATGAAAATAATCGAACAGCTTTTTAGTCGCAGACCTGTGTTATTGATAAAGCTTGTGCTGTTACGCACCAGGGGACCCTCTATCTGCTCACCAGCTTCTCCATAATATAAAGTAAATTAAAATACAGCAGGTAAAATGAGAGTTCCTATCAATAGAGACCTTGAAAGATATAAGAAACTACCACATGGTTTAAAATAGAAAATAAAAGTATGGGAATATAAAAAAAATAAAAAAAAACAATCATACTCACCCTAGGTGGATGCAGCAGATGCTGCATCTTTCCCCCGCTGCTGCTGAGAGGCTGAGCCAGCTGCCAGTCCAGGCATCTGGATGGATCCTGACATTAAAGTTGGGAGCCCCCTAGAGCCTGGACCAGCTCAGTGATGTCAGCTAGCAGAGGACTTTAGGCCACTGAAAACAGGTTACAGGAGTGCAGAACTAAGTGCAGTCCTGTGATCCATAGGGTCACAAAAGAGCTTTGGTGCTGCTTCTCTAACTCTCAGGCATCTATCCAACACTAGAACAACAATTTTGGATGAACGTAATTTTACGTAATTTTTGTATTTTATAGCATTTTTATGCTGTTGTAGCCCATCACAGGCTTCTGTAAGGCCCTGTTCACACTTACGCAGTTTGCTTTTTGTCTTTTTTGCAGTGCTTTTTGCAGTTTATTTTGCATTTTTTTTCTACACACGTTTTTACTGCGTTTTTGTGTTTTTTGTCCAGCTTTTTTTTTTTTTTTTTGTTTAAAGTGGAATTTTTTTTGTTACAGGGCAGAATAAAAATGCAAAGTCAAAACGCGGCAAAAACGCACTACCATGCATTTCAGCAGCTTCTCCACTGAACTCTATTGTAGCAAAAAAAGCTTCTTTTTCCTGTCAAAGTCCCTAACCCTTTCCAAAAACACAGCAGCTAAAAAAAGCATAGATGTTCCATAGGAAACCATGTCAAATGGACTGTAGTGCATTTCTGCAAAAAGCACTAAAAAACGCATTGGTGTGAACGGAGCCTGAATGCTCCAATGTGTGTCTTGTGAATTCTTCAAGATCTACACGACCAGAAATGTGGTAAGGGTGGCTTTCTCTGCCAAATTATGTTTGCACCACAGCTGGCCATACACATTTTCAGTCAATTTCAACTATTTGTTGTCCCCTGAGAATTGCAAATATGATTGCAAATATGTTCGCAAGTAATCTCCAGAATCTAAGCAATCTATCATCTACAAGTTCAATTGGAGCCTGTGCAGTGTAAGTCCCGGCGTATTTCCCCTGCCTTAAAAGCCCAAGTGCTTCATACAGATTCCCAAAGACATGAATATTTGTGTGCAAGAAAGCAGGTGCTTCCAAAATGTTCTGTGTGTTAAACATTTTTTTTTCTGTTATGTTCTATGTCTCGGGTCTGGTTATTTTAGCTGAATTTATGTGTTAGAGCCAGTTGCTACAATGTGGATTATTGCATTGTGAATTGGGGACCCCTGACAAGGAAGGGTTAATGCTGCTGACCAGGTTTTACCACTCCTTTCAGGAATGTTACCTCTCCCTGCAGGTCAAACCATATAAATAAGGGCTCATTAGTGCCCCAGTGGAGAGTAAAGGAAATGAGTCAAAATGTAGTTGTCATTCTGTGCCCCCTTTTAGGAGTCCAGTCGGGGTTCCAAGGAGTATGGACTAAATGGACACATACTACCAGATATAGGACCTTTATGGAAAATTGTTATCACATGGGGACTTACTGCCAATATAGGACCTTTATGGAAAATGATCCCATGGGGACTTACTGCAAATATAGGACCTTTATGGAAAATGATCCCATGGGGACTTACTGCCAATATCGGACCTTTATGGAAAATTATCACATGGG